ACTTTTCAAGCTATCGTGTTTACAGACAGAATGACACGCACGTACGCAACCAAAAATATAACCTCCTCGGCGGAGGTAATGAGGAGTGGCTTTTGCCAGGTTTTGTATTTGTCCATCTCTTGATGTGGTGTGTCTTTTTTTCTTAATGTGAATTTTAATCTAATGAAGCTGGAGGAGTTCATTCGTTGGAAACTATTTCCAGCAGCACATTAATAAAGATAGTGATTTATCGAACGGGTCCTCATCAATCGGCACTGAAATTACACCCCCTCCCCGTTATGTGCTGCATCTTACTTTATTTTATTTTGATTTATTTCAGAGCCTGGTGTTTACAGAGGTGACATTTGGTAAAACATTAATTTTACAGTAATGTAATGTCAAACCCCAAAACACGTCCATGTATTGAATTTATGGCAAACTACTCAACCTGGAAAGTTTGCAATTAGGGAAAAGAAATGCCGACGCTTTCGTCCTCATCATCAGTGAGCTGATGTCGCTTCACGTTCACAAGGACTTAGTGATCACGTGTGTTATACAGTTCAAAGGCTTAGAGCCTAACTACTGTCAATCCCCCACACACAGGTCCGTGGGGATATTGTCAATACGTAAACAGTCTATTGGCCACGCAGAGGGTTGGTCACGGTCTTGTTCACTGCAGTAAATTCTTGGGTTTTCTTCTTGCCTTCCTTTGCAGAGGAGCAAAAAATACGAGTAGTAATAGTTGTGAAAACGTATCGTATTTGAAGTGAAATCATTTGAGGCCGTTGCCAACATGCGCTACTCAATTAGGTGTTTTAAACAAATGGCTTTATTGAACCCTTATTTGCTAGTGCAAAGGATCAATCAGTGTCAATATTTTACGCTGGTGTTAGTTAATTCTGTCACTTCATATCACATAAGCATAAATATTAATAATGGCCATTGGTTTCGAGTGCTTTAGCTCATAAATCACATGCTGCGTGTTTCGAATCATCGCCGACGTCTTCCAAGCGTGTTTCCAAAATACTAAACTGTATCTTCATGGCAGCAAATTATTTTAGATCATTGCACAACTGCATAAATAGGGTCCGGGAAGTTGCGTGAGTTATGGTTTGCACACCTAATCTGAAAGCTTTGATTTTGCGACGTTGCATTCAAAAGACGTGTTGTCAGAAAATCCAACCCAGACGATAAAATGAGGG